TAACCTCATGAGCTCAATTATTTGTGAATCCCTTGACTTTGTTATTCTAAGCTCTTAAGTTGACCAAATGCTTTATAAGGATTTTTGTAATGCTGACAGCCAAGGACAGCTCACTAGCTTCAACCAGCCAATGGTGTAGGCGGCATGTTGTTTTCTTCACAACAAAAAGTGAATCCAAATCAGGTCGTGATCTAATGAACAACTATCAGATAAGGTGTCTCTTAATTAAGATTAATTAAAATTATAAGCATAGATAAGTTATAGTTTAGGTTTTTACTCATTTTAAATTGCAGTGACAGCTCACCTCCATCTTGGGCTCAATTTTGCCACCAGTAGCCTCAAATTCCTGTTGATCATGGTGCGTCTCCGTTTTGACCTCTTGGGTAGGCAGGTCTGCTCCAACATGCTGCGAGTGCAGGTCGGCGCTGGCGGCTGAGGCTGGTGTGGGCACCCGATTATCCAGACTGGCTCCTGGCTGAGACAGCTGAAACACAAAAGAGGGAAAAAAGGACAGGGAAGGACAGGGAAGAACAGGGGCAAAGAGAGAGAAAAAATACAGTCATGATGTGTTTGTAACAACCTTTTTTTGTTTGTTTGTTTTGGGATTTTTTTGTTTTGCATGCAGGGCTCTGAGGCTACGACACGAATGCACACCTCCCGTATACATATCATTGCTCCCTTACAATGAGAGGTGTAATATTCCCATTGGGGGGTGGGTGGGGGCTTACAAACAGTGGTGAAAATGAAGTTATTAGATAGAAAAGGTGGATGTGGATGGGATGGTTTGGTACATGGCAGGCAGAGGGATGGGAGTTTGCACGGGAGGGAGGAGGGAGTCAAAAGTGGAGGGCATGCGAAGGGACTCAGTCTCACCGGCGTGGTAGGGGGCTGAGGTGGGGGCTGCGTCTGTGCTGCTGCAGGGAGCTCCGTCTGGGGTTGGGACTGGGTGGGGCAGGGCGGGGTGGCACCCTGGGCTGGGGCTGGGGCAGGGAGGGTGGGGGTAGAGCTGCGGCTGGAGGGCTGGGGGAGGGGCAGGTTAGTGGCCCCCCCAGCCGTAGAGGCAGAGGAGGCAGCAGGCGGAGGCGTGGAGTGCAAAGGGGTTTGGGAAGAGGCTAGCTGTGGGCCCAGCGAGGGGCCAAGTGCATTCATGGGGATGTTAGCACTCTGCTGCTGTTGCTGCTGCTGGAGAGAAGGACACACAAAGAGCAGGCAGACACACACACACACGACAAGCAGACAAACATACAGTCATAAGGTCAAACAGACGAACACAACATAGCACACAATTTGGGGTTTAGAAAGCACCTTGTGATTGGTAAAAACAATTTAAGAGTAATTAGTGTGTTGTATGAATGGTTGAAGTCATTTGAGTTTAGTTCTTCAGCAACTAGTTGCAATTAGGCGAACTCTGAACAACTGTACAGAAATCAGCCAATCCAAATCCATTATGCGGTAACAGGTAACTACAGCTCCACCTCCTTCATGTCTCACCTGAGTGACAGCAGCCTGTGCCTGTGGCTGACCCATGCCTGGCACCACTGTGACATTCATTGCACCCGTTGCAGCAGCTGGAGCAGATCCTGGAGGAAACTGGTTCTGAGGCAAAAACTGACCCTGGTTGGCAGTCTGACCCACCATGTTTCCTCCACTGTGTCCAGTCATCATGCCCTGGGCCTGGGGCATCCTCGAGGGAGACATTCCCATCTACGAGGCAGGAAAGAAGATATTACTAGGTGCAGTAATCTTATTTGTACACCTAAGTTAGCTTATGCATTCCTTGAGAGTGTGTAACTGGGTGCCAGCTCATGTTTCACGCCTGCCCCATGTGTGGGTGTGATTTTTGTGGCCCCTGGTCTGCCCCCTTACCGCTGGGACTGAGTTTATGTTCATCTGTTGAGGGTGATTCATGGGTGAGGCAGCACGGGGTCCCATTGTTGCTTGAGACATCTGGGCATTGGGTAGAGTCATGTGGTTGAACTGGTTGATTCCTGTACAGATGAGTAAATCAGACACTTTAGAAATTGGCACAACAAATAGGAATAAAAAAATATGACCCAAAGCCAAGCTGGTAGAGGGAGATGTTTTCCTGATTTAGTTCAATTGTAACTTCCCCATTCTTCTTCTTGCCTCTCTTTTTGTGCACTCTGAAACTCCCATATGTATTATTAAAAATGTACCTTGTGAAGCCTGCATGCGACTCATGATCTGATTTGGCATGTTGGGAAGAGGAATAGGTCCATCTGGAAAAACAAAACAAAACAAACTTGTACAGTTAAAAGAAAACAACAATAACAATTAAAAATAAATACATTGCAACATCAGAGACAGATGCTGCTGTGGATAGGCTGCTCACTGAGCTCAGCTCATATATCCATTTTCAATTTTAGACTGGGGGGGAAACGACCTTTTGAAAGTGATTAGACCTGTTAAAGCACATATATAATAGGTAGGGCTGTGCGGTATGACCAAAATCTCATATCCTGATATAAAACATCTATCGTCCGATAACGATATAAATCACAAAAATTAACATTTTCTGTAAATTCTGTCAATCTCGGGCAGCTGAAGTGTTTCCAGCTGGGCGTCGTGTATCTGGAGTCGAGTGTTTTACCGATGCATGAAACTACACATTTTTAGACAAAGGTTGTAACGGCCGCCGTTTTCTTTGTGAGTATTTATTACACGGCATGCTGCAGGGAAAAGCCTGTTCTAACGTTTGAGTGTGAGGTTTATTTTTTTAGCACCTGACGGCTCTTTTTTGCTTCTCATCGGTAAATACTCTGCATTCTCTTTCACGCGATTCAGTTTATTTTGAAAAGTCTCAACAGGATCTTGAGCTTTATTGTGAAAGGTTTATGTGGAAAATAAACAAGCGGACACGTGATGGTTTTACCATCGTTGTTGCTAACGACAACGCATAAAAACAGGTGCTTTTCCGTCCGTAGTGTGGTTATATTAAATAAGAGAAAGAGTGAACTTTAAGAAATTAATATAGCCACTATGGTGACCATCAAAACGATGAAAAAATATTGCTGTATACAGTTTATTTTGCGACACCACGAAACAAACGATAGCGTGAAATGAAACGATAGACGTTTTTATATCGTCATCCGATATATATCGTTATATCGAACAGCCCTAATAATAGGGCAATATGGATAAAGCCTCTGGGCATACAAACATTACTAAAAGTACAATTTATAATTCTGCCATAAGCCTTTCAAACCCTAAGTGGGTAATAAATCAATTTGAAAACAATGTGATTTTACCCAAAACATGTTCATATAATCTTAAACTTACTCTGTGGTCGTGGGCCCAAGGCATTGGGCTGGGCTAGGACTGGTTGCTGGGTTCCCTGGGCAGCCAGAGGTGCCTGGTTGATGATCTGTTTCTGAAGCCTTGAACGCCTCTTCTCCTCCAACTCTTTTTGGATTTTGTATATTTTCTCAGCCAAGAAGTGATAGTACTCGTCCTAAAAGGAAGAAGGTTGGAGGGATGAAGAAAGGCAATATGAAACATTGAGGGAAAAGACATGTTCTGTAAAATTTTGAACTATGGTAAAAGCCTTTGAAAAGCGTTTCATGTTGAATGCGTCAAGTTGAGCAATTCAAGTCAGTCCCTGGCTGATGCGGTTTTTCAGGATACTTACCCGGCTGTTAGCTGACTCATACATATCACCTTCCACCTTTCTGGCGTAGGCCACTAAGTTCTCCATTCGTCTGTCCTTCAAAGCTGCCGGATCAGGGGTAGGGAATATGGCTTGTACTCTGTTGCAGGAAAGCACAAGATAAGCAAATAGAACTTCTGATAACTTCTACTTAATTTCAAACCATTGCCTTAAATATCCAGCCTTTCAAACAAAATCAAAAGGTGACTAACAGGTAAGGATCTCTCCAGCAGAGCTATACACTTACAGTTTGTGTACGAGGTGATTGCGCAAGTCCTGAGTGACGTGCTCATGCCAGGCTTTCCTGGAGCCTGTGGCAGAGACAGGTGCTGCTGTGGGTAGGCTGCTCATTGAGCCCACAGCTGACCCGTCTGACAGCAGCTGACTGCAGGTGCAGATGGAGAAAATTTAGAAATCCTACATCCATGGATATCTATTCCTGTGGTTCCTCAATTTAAAAATATATATATATCATTTAAAAAGAAACCTTAAAAAAACCCAAACAAACAGGGCAACAAGTATTTTTAATAAATGGAATGTAATTATTCTTATTATACTTGACAGAGACTGACTTATTAGTGTTGAGTGCGTTGGGAAGGGAGTCTGTGTGCAGGTTTGTCTGTTCTGAAGTGGGCACACCCATTGCTGCATTTCCAAGAGCCATCTGGTTACCTGTGAATACAGAATACAGTGAGCAAACGGCACTCTCTTGATTTAAAAATCAAACTCAGTGAATAAAATATGGGTATGAACTGTCATTTTTAAGCATAAAAAATTAATTTACCAAGTGCACTGATGGGTCTCATCTGCTGTGGAAGTTGTTGTTGAGCCTGGGTGTTCGGTGCACCTGCTGTCTGTCCTGCGCCTGGAGCCTGCTGGGTTGGAGCCTGTCCAGTGGCCTGACTGCTGTAGGGCAGCCCAAGTGCCGCATAAGCTCTCTGCATTGAGCTGGGGTCTATGGGGGCTGAGGTACTAATGGTGGGAGTACTAGGCTGGCCCACGCCTACAGAAGACATGGAGTTCTGGAGGCCTGTATTCGGGGAGCTTAGCATGGCTGGGGAGGGATATCAAAAAGTCAGCCCACAACATCCACATGACATCATATTGTTTTATATTGGTAACAACCTGCAAAGTTAGTTGTGTAGAGACCTACACTAATACTGCAACAAGTCTGTACACAAAATGCACATGTGAATACTACTAGCCAAGCGACAAAGACATGAATAGAAACATTTTTTTGAATATAGAAATAATTCAAATGCAGTCATCTTTTTAAAAAGATAAAAACAAAAACACATATACATCTGCATGCTTTGACTTCGGGCAAGATTAAGTCACAACACGGCAGCATGATACAATCAGAACACTAGTGTAAGGCTAAATGCTTTAAAAAGCCAGGGACTGAATAAATGTATAAATCTCTTTAAGGGGAAGAGTATTCGCATATTTTTCCGGGTTCAGGTGTTGGTTGGGCTAAAAGACCAAAAAACATCTCTTAGTATGTGCAAAGACTCAAATCAAATGAGGCAGAACAAAGAAAAACTACACCGTCTGCATTGGCAGGAGCACAAGCCCCAACATCATGTTTTTTAACATGCAAGCCAAACTGGGGAAGACTAAGACTAAAATGCTTTAAGTGTTGAAATATGAGGGGCCAAAATAAAATAAATCCAAGTAATCTAGGCAGAAGAATGAGATGATAGGACCTAAAATACAGCAAACCAGCCAGAAGATAGCAGGTACATGAGAGAATCAACACTAAACAGGAACAACAGAAGCTTCCAGTATGTGTTGGAAAGAGCGTCAAACTCAGCTCTGTTCTGGTAGAGAGAAGAAGTAAATAACCCAACAGCCAATTGCTCTGTCGGACTCCATGAGCACACGCTCTCTGTATCCTCTCTCACCCTCGATCACACTGCTATACCTCCTGTGTGTCAGATTACAAGCCCAGCAGGACCACACTCTTATTCGCTGAGTGCTTTTAGTCGTCACAGAGAAGCAAAGGCCTAGAAATAAATAGCCTGACTGACTCTGAATGCCAAGATATACATAATTCCAACACACACATTCCTGACTTTCGAAAGCGAGCCTTTCTAAAAACTACTACTGTGACCATTACAGCTCAATATACCAATCCTGTAATGACTGAGATACAAATTGAGGCCGTTGACAGAAAGCTCACCAGGTTTCAATATCTTGCTTACCAAAAACAATCTCTGAAAACAATTTCAGCCTAGTTTTTGATTTCTGCAGATATAAGTGTCCTGACAATGCTTGGGCGACAGTGGGCCAGAGATCGCTACTTAGCTACTTACGCTGTTGGGTGCGCTTGTCGCTGGCATTCTTCAGCGGCAGGCAGACGGGACAGTCGTGTCGAGTGCAATTTTTCCAGTGGGAGATGATCTGTCTGGACGACGCACAGTGAGCCACTGCAAGAAGAGAAGACGAGAGAGGAACAAGGTTGAAAACTGTGATACCATCTGTCATATTTGGTCACATCCAACCTGATTAACTTGAACTCATTATGGTTGTTGCATTTATTCCAGTAAGACGACATTAAATTAAATTTCGTTTTATTCCACACTAGTCAACCTGTAACCAACATCGTTTCTTCCCTCCTCCTTTTTTATGTTTACCAAGAATCCCCAGCTGCAGTTTTTACTTCATCTGAATAACATCTATCACAGACAAGGCACTTGTGGTAGATTACATCACTTCAAAAGACCCAGGTTGAACAATTCACACCGGACGTTCTTGATGGATCATTGATTTAACATATGAGTCACAGTTGTTACTGGGTTCTGTAATGTACTGGCTAATTGCACATCTAACCTCAAGCTTGCCTCTTTTGGGAAAGTTTTTTTTCTTCTTCCTCAAACTGCATAACAACTGGTCATAAGAAAATTCTACACAGAACACTAACACACAAAAACTTGTTTACACTCTTGTTTTCATGTCCTCTGAGGAAAAAAAAAGAAAGAAGAAAATTACAACATACTGACACAGTAAATGAGAGACACTGGAGAACAGTCCAAGAAGTTAGCTCACCATTTCAGCCCACTGCAGTAATTTTCCCTCTTGAAAGGCTGCTGGTTGAGCCTAGTGGAGAGGGGACCTACACTGCATTTCCTAATGGGAAACTGAACAAACCGGGGTACTTCATTTCATCTCTGGCCAGGCTAATGTAGTAGGAGCTAATCTGACAAGAAATCACAACCTGGCGCTTGCTTGCTCCTTGGCACTAAGTAAATGCTGGTCCACATTAAACTGCTACATGGATTCAATAGCTAGGCAGAAATTAACATAATTATGTTTTATTATTTTTGTAAGAAAGCCAAAAGAGCTGGCGAAGACTCAAAGTACTGCTATCATACTGGTATCTTTTTATAAATTCAGTATGCAAAGAAAGGCTCTCATATTTAAGTCCACTGCCAATCCAAGCACGACTCACACTGCTCACACTATAGACTCTGGGGTTTCTCACTCGAGAATAAATGGAGCCAACAGGCTTCAGATAAATCTATAACGTTAGTGATAACTGTGTGTCGGGGAACAAAATCTCACTACACAGTTATTTCAGTGGTGCTGAGAGGCAAGGATCCAAACCAAGAGGAAATGAGCTGGTATGGAGAGAGCAGACACAGACTCCTTTACACTTAACACACCTTGGCCCCTTGAGTGTTTGGCTTGCAATTGAACTTGAGCATTCAAGCCCAAAAGCAGTGCAAAGGGCGCAGAGCCAAATTTAAATGAGAGTAGCTTTGGGGGAATTTTTCATGGTAGGAATGCTGGGGCCGACACAGAAAGGAGCAGACAGAAACAAACAAGGAAAAATTCACCAACGGAGTGAAATCAACTTTTGGAAGGAGCAGGAGCAGACTTAGTCACAAACAACGATAAGTGTGGGAGTTTCCCTTGTGCAAAGTCTGGTTAAGATAAATAGACCTGCAGCAACCATCAAACTTGCATATGATAAAAATGGACTTAAATTGGACTTTAAAACTAATATATCATCTATGAATAACAAAAAACAAACAAACAAAAAACAAACCACACAATAGAGATGTATGAAAATACTTATGAAGATATATTGAGTGTTGCAAATTTGCTAAATTGATAAAGCTGACACGTCCGTTAGTTTACCTCAAATAACCTAATCACAAATTATACATTTCAAACATATACGGAACAAAGAGGAAAAAACCTAACCTGTAGGCGATTGTAGAATTTTTAAAATTCTAAAGTACCTAAGGCAAAAGAGGACAGGGTTGAGAAGCTCAATTTTATGTTCATGATCCAACAAATAGAGAGGACAAAAAACAAAACATCAAGTTCAGTGTCTCTCTTTAAAAATGACGGAGAGGCATGAACCATAAAACCTTTGGGTGTCTCTAGAAGCACACTAGCTTCAGAAACCATGAGATGCATGAAGGCAGGAATTTCTGAATTTCTAAATTTGGACAAAACAAGAACGGCTTTGGTAACCAAAAACCCACTTCTACAGTTCCATTCACCTTTCAGCACAACAATAACCCAAAGCATACTGCCAAGATGCAGCTGGAGTAGCTTTGGGACAATTCTGTGAGTGTTCTTAGTTTAACTGCCAAGATCAAGGTGCACAGAGCTTGTGGAAACTTGGCCAAGAAGGATGTTCAAAGAAGCAGTTCCTACCAAGGGGCTCCTACATGGAGATTTATACATCTGAAAATGTTTGTGAATGAAATCCAATTTTAAATTTATTCCATGAATCTAATCGCAGTTTCAGGATGATGACAGAAAGGCATACTTCTACCAAAAATAGCAACACAGATGGCCACAATATGAGAATAAATGGAAAGAAAGCTGCTGCTAAAAAAACGTTAATCCCAAATGCATGCTCAAATGTCAGCAGTTTTCTTCTTGAGGCAGTTACTGATCAGGTTTGTGTGTAAAATAAGTAGAATTATCACTGTGTTTGTATGTTCTCCCCGGGTACTCTGGCTTCCTCCCACAGTCCAAAGACATGCAATTTGTGAGGTTAGGTTAATTATTGATTCTAAATTGCCCATATGTGCGAATGTGAGTGTGAATCGTCTGTCTCTATGCGTTAGCCCTGTGACAAATTGGCGACCTGTCCAGGCTGTAGCCTGTCTCTCGCCCTATGACAGCTGGGATAGGCTCCAGCCCTCCCTGCGACCCTGATAAGGATAAGAGAATGGACGGATCACCGTGCTATCTATTCAAGAAACTATTTTTCCTTCTGAAATGGTAACACAGCAACTGAATCTGCAAATTCAGCTGTCAACGCAACGCAACCTGAATTAAATAAACCTTAGATTCAGTTACCAATATTGGATCTTAGCAAAGAAATCTCACCCAGTGCAGATTCTTTCCCTGGGGAAAGTCCAGTCTATGTAGCTCAAATTCCTGTGGCTTAAAAAAGTGATGTTATGATGTTTTAATTTCTAGCTTGTATGTTGTTTTGTCATTTGTTTTGCTACTCTTATGGGTAGGAGCGGTAAAAACAAGTTAATACTAAATAGATACAGTTATAGATTAAATAGACCATGTTTTTTTGTTAAGGGCAGTAGAGGCCTTAAAAAAATGCAAAATAAACTAATAAAATAAAACAATTTTTTTGTTAAAAGCAGCTTGAATAAAAAGCTGCGGGTGTTTACTAAGGGCTAAGCTATTTTTGTTCTGACCCTTTAATGTCTCAGTGTAAAAAGGGGTCGACTTCCATGAACTGTCCATCTGGAAATTATCGTTCATTTCCTTCACTTCATTTCAAATGCTTCTACTCACCCTGGCAGGATTTGCCAGCCTGGCAGTGCGTCATGTGATTAAGGACGTTCTTCATAGTGCGGCAGTGAGGCAGGGCGCAGGCCCTCACTTCCCCATTAGCCTGTTCTCGTCGCTGGCACTTATGTGCGTGGAGCAGCAGGACCAGCTGCTGCTGGATCAGCTTGCGCTTCTCAGGGTCGGCTGTGGGGCCTGCCGAAGGCACTGCCACACCTCCGCCGCCGGCCAGCGGGAGCATCGCTGCCTGCTGCTGAGGCGGCTGCTGCTGGAGCTGCTGCACGCATGAAACAGGCAGACAAATGTCAAAGTTGTGATTAGTTATCAGCAATTCAACAGTGTGACTCAGAAATGGTGCCAAAAAGGAGATCATTTATTTGTAAATGGTATTTATAAAGAAAAACAAAAATAAATGTTTTGTGTACAGTAATATCTGAATATGTCTAAAAAGTACTGACCATGTTTGGCACGCTAGTAACAGCAGCTCCTTTGAGCTCATTAGGGAAGGGTGGCAGGCTGTTGGCAAGGGCAGACTTGTTCTGGAGCTGCTGCTGAGGGTTTAGCTGCTGGCCAGGTCCTGTAGCTCCCTGACCATAGGACTGCGCCCCGAACGGACCATTACTACCCAGGCCCATCTGAAAATACGGACAAATGACCAATAAGTCAGCACAGTAATTGAGCAGTGTTGTTAGCTGCGGGGGAAAAACCCCCAAAACAAAACCGCTTACAGTCCAGAATCCTGAAGGAACAGACAGATTGATTAAAGCATTCACAAGTTTAAAACATTTGATTTAATGTGATTAAATGTTTACCTGAGGGATTATGTTAGTTCCTCGTTTACAGCCTTAACATGCCAAGAAAAGGTTCTGCCTCAATTTCAATGCCAATTTGTCATTACAAGACCCCCTCTGCCAAGACAAGCACTTGCGTAGCTGCGCCAGGATAATTGTGCCTGGTCCTGTTCTAAGCAGCACAGTGATGCTCTGGCATCCTGTCAACTCAGCATGACACAAGCTATTGCCAGGAAAGACTTCTTGACTACATAGTCATTTTTCCTCCAGCTCCCTTCTTTACTTAAGCTAGTTAGTAGAGATGACACAACTGAAAACTTTACTAACAATGCAGCAATTAACATGAGCCACCAGAAAAATGCTCTTCTACTCTGGCTTTTTTCTTTAATTGGCCATTACAACAGGTAATTAATCATAAATTGTGTTCTCAAGATCCTTTTGGGTTGTAGGAGAAATTGTTACTAAGTTTTATTAAGAAAAGCTTGTATAATAACAAATCTGCACAAATTGTCAGGAACACAATTTATCTTAAGAGATTATGACCCAGTTTCGCAGTCTCACATATGCGACTCTTATCACATATGTGGGTGGGGTTGTGCACCTGTTATTTAAACTGGAGGTGTTCCTGTCAACTAATTTCCCTCAACAACTAAAACAAAACAATGCCACAGTCTAAAGGGCATGGTTAAGCACCATTTGAAATTGTGAAATTGTGTGTTTGATGCCACACATTTCCATCAGTGTGCCCAATGGCAGCTTGTGTTAACGCCAACATATTTCACCTGCAGGTTAACATCCACACACCCTTGGAGAAGGTGGTTACGTGCCACTTTAACTCCACAAACAGTCATTCCTCTTCCAAGCTTGCACAGGTTTTTAAGCACAGACAGTATAAAGGATGGACACTGCCGCTCTGACGCCACCTATTGGTTTTGGACTCTACATTCCCAACTTTTGATGTGATACGGCATATTTGTTTTTCAAGCCTAAAAATACCATATATCATACAACAAGCCATAATTTTAAGCAGATTAACCATTAAAAATTCTCCTAATGCTAGTAATAGCTCCAGCTTCCTATTTGGAACAAACATCCAACAATGCAGCCAACTCTACTATCCAAGCGTTTGAATTGTACAAAAACTTCAGCTGACTCAGAGCCGTTAGGAGGAAAAAAAAACCCTTCATAGATGCCAAAACTTAGCTTGTACCAGACTGTAAATACACTTTTGAGTTTTTCCTTTCCAGTCACCTTTCTCACTCACTATGTGTTAACAGACTTCTCTGTATTGAATCGTATCTGTTATTAATCTCTGTCTCT